TAATCTTATACTAACGTTGTATATATATATATATACGTTGTATATCGTGGCAATTTTCAAATAATTCACGATGTCGAATTTGCGAGTTCGAAATACTGAAATTTACAAACTCGACGCTTGTCCAATAGTAATAGAAAAATAATCAAATTCAAGCTAAGAAGTGCTAAACTAATTACAATAAACTATAGCCTGGCGAAATAAAGAAAATAAAGCAACGACATAAATCACTGATTTATAGGTGAAATTTTGTCATTTTTTGTATTTTCAGTGCAGCTAGTACATTGATGAATGAGTAGGGGTGTGTGGGTATCGGAAACATTCGGGTACTCGAAGTCATATCCGATCCCAAAAACTTTCGTGAATCCGAAATTCCAAAATGGGATTGGGGAGGCTTTAGACATTTCATTCGTTCTTCTTGATTGTGTATCGTCTGCCTCAGATGCGCAATAAATATAATATATAACATATTTCTGGATTTATAAACATTCCCCAATCCGCTTTCAGGATTTTGGGTCCCCAAAAATTCTCGGGGCTCAATTTCAAATCCGGATAACCGAATGTTCCGGATACCCAAAAGTTTTGGGTCTCGACCCAGAACCCCAAGAAAATACCCGACCGGATTTTAACCCGAAATCTCGGGTACCCACCCACCTCTATGAATTAGTCATCTGATAGCTGAAAAGGTTTTCTATGGCCTACACTGCCTTAATTAGTAAATTTTGATTAGACAATTACGTCTTCCATTCGTATCCGCTTCTGTTCGATGTTTCAAAAAGCTCGTTTCAAAAAATTAATATTTAGGTTCATTTCCGACTTATTAACACTCAACACCAAAGAACTACAACACTGCCAGATTTTTCGAAAGTAATGTAATAGAACTATACGCGGTCGTTCCTTTAGGGATGAAATTTTTGTGTTAAAATAACGTGAAATAATCGATGCGAACTTGTTCAAAAGAGCTCGTTTCTAGTCGTTACTTACTTAAATGCAGTAATAACGACACACGATTTAGATCAGTGTAGTCAATAATAACGTACCTATCTCGGTATCGAATTCTAGAGCCAAGTCATACAGGCCACTTTCGTGTCATGTGGCCGCCCGAAACCAAGGGTTTTAAATATGTCATTACAGGGTGCTTCATTTGAATAGTGGTCGAAAGGGGCACTCTTCATGCTTCCCAAATACGTAGGTACCAATAGGTAGTAAACTGTTCGAGGGCTGAGAAGATCGCGCGCATTGTGGTCTCATTATTGACTGTTGTGTCGCATTTGAAGGTTTATGATATGTCAATCACTATTGAGCTGGAAGCTAGACACTTAGAAATGCACGAGTTTACTAGAAGCGTGTGTAGTAATAAATCAGCTACTGCTAGCTTAACTCCAATATTAGACAGTTGAAAACATCACTTATTGTACGTATCTTCTCAAAAAGCAAATTTTAATCATTCGTATCGTAAACCTCGGTGGCAATATTTGAAATAGTATTTTATGAAACAGTGTATTTGCCAAACATAAATTTATGAAAACGATCCGAGTTACGATTGATTGGATCAGTGATCATTCCAATTTTTATTGCATAATAAAGCGCACGTTTTTGTCTGTCTATTAAATTTGTCTCTTGTCTACACGTNCACACACACACACACACACACACACACACACACACACACACACACACACACACACACACACACACACACACACACACACACACACACACACACACACACACACACACACACACACACACACACACACACACACACACACACACACACACACACACACACACACACACACACACACACACACACACACACACACACACACACACACACACACACACACACACACACACACACACACACACACACACACACACACACACACACACACACACACACACACACACACACACACACACACACACACACACACACACACACACACACACACACACACACACACACACACACACACACACACACACACACACACACACACACACACACACACACACACACACACACACACACACACACACACACACACACACACACACACACACACACACACACACACACACACACACACACACACACACACACACACACACACACACACACACACACACACACACACACACACACACACACACACACACACACACACACACACACACACACACACACACACACACACACACACACACACACACACACACACACACACACACACACACACACACACACACACACACACACACACACACACACACACACACACACACACACACACACACACACACACACACACACACACACACACACACACACACACACACACACACACACACACAATCGAATAAAACCCGATGAATTTCTTAAACGTACTGATTAGAGTCATTGAAAGGAGAAGAATTTGTATCACTGTTTACAATATATTGTAAGCGAGTTTACAGTCATCAGTCAAGATTTGAGAACATTTCTTGTGCGTGTGTGTGTGTGTGTGAGACCTTAGGAGTATCATGTTATTTCACTATTTACAACAACTGTTATGAATTTTTCGTACTCAAGGTTATGTAAAAGCCACAATATTACAGGTGGTTGAATTCGTCTTGACCTCAGCTATTATATAGCGATAATAAAAATATATCATTTCATTAAAAAAAAACTTCGATGACCTTGAAATCTCAAAGAATATAACCTTGAACAAATTTTGTTGCCTATCATAATATTTGCCCCTCTGAATCAATTAATGTTTCCCTTTGACATCTTTTTCTATCATAAAAAGTAAGCGAGATTTTAAATGCTCAAGTTAGGTGAGACACCCCGTATTGTATGAAGTCTGTAACTTCCGTTGTAAATAACTGCGAAATTGTAAATGATGTAGAAGAACTTGAATAACATTTTTCTTTTATCGTTTTCTATGTGGTTCCATAATTTGTGTTCAAATTCAATTCTTCGCTTCTTTTGGAAAATATATATTTTATCATATTATGTCACTTTCGTTGCATGCATGCGCCACAGTTATTCAAGACGTAGACCCCCTCTAAGCTTGCGATAATCTCTACACTGATTAATGCCAACGCGAATGATTTGTACCTTCCGCGTTTTAACTTAGTTCCAGCTTGAGAAAGACTTTCATATTTCGTACAACTGGAAAAGATAACATTGATAAATAATTATTATAATTTACAAAAATCGATGTGATAAATCTGTAGATTTTGGTATGTTTAATAATGAATCAAAAGGCTGTTAAAAATTTCAGCAACAATACATTTTTCGACTTCAAAAATGCGTGACTTTTATCGTGTGATTTTTAAGCTGACAAACAAAGAATTAAAAGATCAGTCCTTGAAAGTATAAATATCTTTTGTTTTCAATTGTACGTATATAATACACTAACTGTACTTGGCTTATACACTGTTCACGCACTAATTTATAGTATTATAATACACATCACATTATTCTCTACTGGTATCTCAATATTATTACCGACTCTAACATTGCCAATTAATGTTATAGTTCCGATATCAACGAGTTCTTTTAAACGAATACAGAAAGTGTTAAAGTAGCTAGATGTTGGACATTTTCGAAAAAAAAGGAACAGTTTTTGCGGAGATCTGCTATCATCTCAGCGTAGCGGTTATAGTGTAACCTGGCCGAATAGCCGAATCATTGCATACATAGAGTAATATCTTGAACTGCTTTCCCCCAAAGAATTGTAGAACTGTAAACAATTCTAGATTTGTCTGCGTAGCCATGCGCGTTCAATACTTATCCAGACAGCTACGTATCTTATCATTTGTTCAAACCCGCCTGGTTTATAGCTGACACGCTATGATTGCAGTTTACCGCCAGCCTCAAGACGGCACGAAGAAAGAAAAGAGAAACGCAGTTTTGTGGTGATTTTCGATACGTATCTCCAAAACTGAAGAACGATAGTAGCTAGTAGGATGTCACGTGACGAGGCTGATAGAGGCTGGGCATGGATGATCGTCGCCGCTGTAACCATCATTAATGTAAGTTTTTCATTTTTCATCGTAGTAATATCGTGATGCATTTTATATTTACTTTATACTTGATCGTTGATATTTGCTCTAACAAGTATAATTACTATATATTTTATAAAGTATTATGACTACTGAATGAAGGTAGATGATCGTTTTTATCATTGCTGATTGTATATTCGTCATCGAGATTTCCCCTATTTCATATTATGTTTTAGTAAGTTTTTAATAATACAGATAGTATCGGCAAGATTTGTTGTTTTACATTTATTGCTTTAAAATTGTTTGGTTAAGTTAGATGCCGGGTAATTTATTAATCATATTGCAATGGAAAGTTGACATTTTTTTTTTATTAAACTATGAAACCTCCTACGGGGGGTTAATAGTAAAAGTTGTTATTCTGTATAATTTGAATTTCTGCAAAGTTGTAATGGAAGAGTATACTTGAAAGTAATTAGAAAATAAGATAATGAACTCATTATCAGCGGAACCAGGAAAATCAGGAAGTTCACCCAATCTTTTTACACACTCACGGTACCATTCGTCACATATAATTTACAGTTATAATTAATAGTGACAATGCTTATTTAAAATATATAACGTCGATGAATTTAGTTGACATGAAAAAGTGACGATGGATACATAATTGAGAATGAAAACAGTGTTCACTTAAATTGACCATTTAAATTTAAAAGATCCGCAGGACGTCAAACGCCTGGTCGAATCGTGTATTAATTTTTTAATCATCGTATTCTCATCAAGAATACGGTGACGAAGATACGATTGACGAAGATCCTCCGATGATTTTTAATTATTTTCAGATATTTTATATTATCCAAAATAGAATGTAGATGAAAGAGATCAAAGCAATTTTTATTTAAATAGTACTGTAATTTTTCAGTCATTTTCGCAGTCACAATGATATTATATTGTATTAATACTATAATAATATTATAATAACATAAGAAAAGGAATTATAATAAAAGATCTGGGAGATATGTAAAAATTGTAGGGTTCAGAGGGAAAATAGCGTAAGATTAAATTTTTCAATGGAATCTACAGAAAAATATTGTCTGTGTATCATCTGTATAATCCCCGCTCTAAATACCAATCGTTGCATGTGATTTAAAATCTAAGATATTATTCAGGATAGAATGACATATTAAGAAATGTCAACAGATTAATAACTTTCAAAGCTTATACATAGATTAGAACAGCTTATGGATTAAATGCTGATCAAGTTATGTAGTTGGAAATCGGGTGATCAGCGAGAAAAGTATGCATTATTAATTTACGTTATAGATTGCGGTGTATTTAATTTCAGAAATTGCTATTTACTGGATCTTTAGTTGACAAGCCAATGAGCGTTTTCTG